TTTCAGTAAAATTTATTTTCAGGAGAGAAGTTATTGATGAAGATGGATGGCTTCACACTGGAGATATAGGTCTGTGGCTGCCGGGAGGGCGTCTAAAAATTATTGACAGGTTTTCCCAAATCACTCGATTGTTAATTATACACCAGTTCTTTAGTAAAATCAAATGAGTTGGTTTCTGCTACTTCGTAAACCGCCCTTCTTTGTTTTATGCGACAAATGAAATATAAATTTCTGTTAAGTAAGGGGGTGCAAAGCTCTAGTCTTCCAAGATGGGTTATTTTTTGGGGATTTGTGGGTGTCTCCTGAACCGAGAAACATCCAAGTAAGATTTCCGCATTCTTTGAACAGGAAGAAGAATATCTTCAAATTGGCGCAGGGGGAGTATATAGCTCCAGAGAAAATCGAAAACGTGTATGCCAAATGCAAATTTGTGGCCCAATGCTTCATATATGGTAAAGAAAATAAATTTTGTAAATTGTTTTGTTTAGTATTGGCTTAATTTTTTCTCGCATCTCAACCTGTTTCCATTTTTCAGGTGATAGCTTTAACTCATCACTGGTAGCTGTTGTATCGGTTGATCCAGATGTGCTGAAAAACTGGGCTGCTTCAGAAGGCATTAAGGTGATATATATAACTTCCTTCTCGAAATTCTCTTAATGTAAGGCTAGAAAAATATCGTAATGCCACTATGTTATATGCAGTATGGAGATTTGAGAGAATTGTGCAATAACCCGAAAGCTAAAGCAGCGGTACTATCTGACATGGACAATATTGGAAGAGAAGCTCAGGCAATACATCTCAGAATTTAATTCTTCTTTGCTTATTCATTTATTCATCAGTTAGTTACTATTCTCGAAGACGCGATCACTGATTTTAGAATAAAAACATTTGCTGCAGTTGAGAGGCTTTGAGTTTGCAAAGGCGATAACATTGACGCTCGAGCCATTTACTCTGGAAAATGGTCTGCTCACTCCGACATTCAAGGTAAATACTAGAAAATTCATGTTTAAGCAAGTAGATGAATAATTTTCTATAATAATATTCTTCATTCTATAATAAGATTCGACATGGTTTTAGTTTGAATTTGATTGAATTTGTGCAGATAAAGAGACCACAAGCAAAGGAATATTTCTCAGAAGCAATAACAAACATGTACAAGGAGCTTGCTGCTTCTGATCCCACCGTTAATAAAGCTTTTTGATGATCATGTAATCGTGTGATTAATTAAACAAAAAAAGCCCCACTCAAAAGATTTTATAAGTGTTCATCCCAAAAATTGTA